AATTGCTAGAAAGAACTTTAGTTCCCATTCCAAAATGGGGACAAGAAGTATTAAGCCCAGAACTCAGGGGCTTTTTTGGAATGCTTTTTAGTACTTGGTTGCCCAGTAGTTCTCGTTAATGGAAAATAGTGACATTCCATTAAACAAAGGATCATCTCAAGACTGATAACTTATAGGAATAGTTTTGTTCATCCTACTAGGTAGAGTACCCTGTCCAGCCTTAGTACTGATGGAAGATAAGATGAAATGAGGGAAATTCTGTTATCAAAATAGGCCTATGTCCATCTATACAAATGGGGATTATGATAGCTATGTTTTATGTTAATTATCTTTCCTTCTTTTTCTGTTATGTAATATAGATGAAGAACACTGGTGGATGCTAACATTTTGGGTTTAGATCACTATGCAAAGATATAATAGCTAATTATTCTTCTATGATGCTCAATTTCTTCTATCTACTATTATCTTTTCTGCCCTGCTTATCCCCTGGATAAAAGACAAGAATGGATGCAGAGAGAAAGTAATAGCTTCCATTTTCCCCTCCAGTCCATTCATCCCTTTTCCAGCTGACTTTGTGCCTTCACTAAGCTCTTTTCCAGTTACCTAATTTGAGTGTGCCATATTTTTGTTCTGTCAGTATCCTGGCTACAAGTATAGGAAATTGAAAGGCAAAATCCTTGTTTTCTCACCTAACAATCCCACTGTCCTGAAGTAGTTATTGAAGAAAGTTTATTGTCTATTTATTCAGATATATGTGTGTGTATACACATTTACATGCACAGTAACATAATATACATGCTATTTTGCTACCAAGAATTTCATTCAACAGTGTGTTATGGTTGTCTTTAACTATAGAGAGTTTGAACCTTCTTTTCAATGGTTTCAGAGAATTTGTATGGATGTATCATAATTTCTTTAATTTATCAATTGATACATGTTTCAGTTGTTTCATTCATTTTAAAGTTGTGTTCACTAGAATAAACTTCTGTATAGCTAAATCTTCCATAATTACTCAAAATATGATGTATCAAAATGAAGTGTTGTGTACATTCTTCTGCTATTTAAACTATACTAAAAAATTAAGCACATTGGCTTCTGGGGAGATGATCAAGATGGTTACAGTGAATTTTTTGAATTAATATTTACCAATTTTCAGAAATTAATTCTAATAGATAACTATTAATATTTATAAAATTTTCAACAAAATAGTTTTTAAACAAAAATAATTCACTCTTTTTTTCCCTCTTTCTCTCTGGTGTGTTGTTATTAGTTTTTAGATCCTTTTGTTGCTCTGGTCAAATCAAATGGTTCTCTAGGGGCAAAGTCCCTTGATCCATAAGCTCTTTCTAAACTGTCAGGCTTTTGCAGTATCACTTGATCATTGTCCTCTCAAATTGTATATTTCTTCTTGAAGAAGGATTTTACATGGCTCTCTGTGTTGGAGAACATAGGAAAACCTCATATTTCTGGAAGATGCTGTTTTCTTTATATGGGTAAAAAGGAAAGAAGGAAATAAATTTAACAATGCAAAGTGGCTTTAGTTCAGACATAATTTTGTTTTTGGAATTGCTATGAATATGAGCCATATCCTGAAGTGTTTGAATGTTATCCTAAAGCAAAGTAGATATTGTCTAGGATAAAGAATTGAATAGTACAGAACAATAATAGTGAAAAAGTTTATTGACATATTAGAAAAACTTAACTGACATTGACTTTTTAGTTAGAATCACATTGTGCCTAGGGTAATGTCGAAGACATTAGAAGAAGTCAAATAACTTTGTAATATTTTGGATTCAGTATACAATGTAATTAATCACTCTGTTCCTGATGTCCATTAAATGAATGATTCTAACCCTCTGCCACTTGATAAACTGGCAAGAAAAATTGATGACACATGAAAATATAAAAAATACGAGGTTAATTATATTTTTCTCTCCATTAGTTTTTCAAAAGAAATGAGTATAACTGATTATCTTCTGTGAAAAGGGAAGCAAATTTATTAGGAGAGTGTCAAGTTTACAAGAGGGAAAAGGATTTCATAGTCATCTTGATAGAAATAAAAGACATGGAGACCAAAAAATCCAAAGCTGAATAATTTCCAATGTGGTGTCACTTTAAAATATGATATGGACAATTAAAAAACACATGAACTACCAGCAGATTAAACTAGTTTTCCTGGTCTCTTATATGGTTTAGAATTAGAGTGTTTTGTATTAATTTTATCTCTAAACTGAAAGTAGAATGAAGAAAGGTAGACAAATAAGATTTTTTTTTTGTATGAAAAGGAATAAGTGAGAAGAATTTTACAAACAGAAAGCTAAGGGATGACTTAATTTGTTGCATTCATGTATATAAAGGTTTTTTTTCGAAAAGAACACAATGATTTATGTTTCCCACAGTTATAAGCAGTAAAAGCAGAGGTGGTCTTAAGTTAGAAGAGGCAAGATTTTACTTGAATATAAGGAAGGTTTTGTGACAATTTTAAAGATAAAAATGCAAAGAGTTTGAGCTGAATGAGATGTTCAAGTGACAATATTTTTAAATTGAGGACATTTATATGAATAATGATTTAGATTCGTACCTTGTTCAAATTGAACAGCTTTCTATATATCCCTTTTAACTTGATGACTCTATTACTTGTGACCTGTTACCAATATCTTCTTCATTTATAAAGGATTAAATAGCTGGGAATCTGTCTGGAGAATTAATCAGTCCTATATGGATCAAGAAAAAAGATGAATCATAACAGAGGTAAAGAATTAGCCCTTGTTTTTTGCATCGTTGACTTTTAATTAGTTAAAAAATTATGAGTATAGTTAAATGTTTAAGAAAAGTTATTTCAAAGTATAGTCAATCTATAAGAGAAGATGATTTCAGAACACAATTATTCAGAAGTTTTTTCCTATGGATATTTGATGATTTTTAGGTGAATGAAATCATATCCTTGTGTCTCCACCTAGAAACCTCTCTAGACTTTTGCTCTGGATTGAGATTTGGATTCCTAGTCTGTCTCAAGTGACACTATAACTGCGATGAGCTAAACTTTTAGTTTCTGCATTCCCTGACATTTGAATGGATATATTCTCATGCTTTTAGTACATCAAGGTTCCATGTTTATATCTCATTCTGATTTAAATTCACTTTTCCAAAAATTCCCAGTTTTACCTGGTTGGTAAGGTTTAATGAAATGAAAGGCAAATCAATTCACAGCTATATGTTTATGCCTGATAAAGGTTTATTGAGATATTCTCAAGAGTCTTGACACTTAAAAGACACCTGGATATATACTGGAATTTATTTATAATTGTAGAATTTTGGAAGAGTGTAATGAAAATCATACTTCACAAACTACTTTTTACTTAATTTAAAGTAAGCTTTATTCTTTCTTAGTCATTATACCCATACTTTCTAATATCTTCATCTTTTTTAGATTTTCTTTTAATCTCATTTATTTTCTCATTTTTCCTAATTCTGTTTCACTTTTATAATGCCTTATTTTCTGTTTTTCTCTGTTGCTTAGAAACTATGTGATTTTTTAACCTATCCTAATTATATAATGAGGTATAGTTCCATGTATTTTTTAATTATCCAAATCGATCCTCTTCTTTTAGCAGTTATTTATTTCCTGAAATATTTACATGTCCTTATTAGGTAGTGTGAGTCAAAGTTTTAGGATACATTAGATAACAAGATAAATGTATTCCTTAACTTTATGGGTGTTGCAGTCACATCAGGAGGGAGAACAAACAAAAAAATTAATAGATGACATTTTCAGTAATTACTACAAAAAATACAGTCTTTTCTGAGCACAAATATATTTAATCTGCACAGGATGGTTTTAATTTTGATCACTAAAAGAGTATGAATGTTATAATCTATTATTAATTAGGAGAAAATTATATTATTGAAATACCCTTTAGATATGGAATTTTGATGCTGTCTGCTGACCAGTACAATTTTATTTTCTTATTCATTTATTTCAAGTGTTGAGCACTATTATGAACAAGTGAAAGGGAAGTAAAGTGAACATTTACTGCATATTTTCATATTAAAACCTCCAAACTAGATACGCTTTAATTTTTTCACCCCTAGAACTTACTCTGTGAAATTAGTTTTATTAATTGCAGTTTCATAGATAAACTAAGGTTCAAGAATTCAAGTAACTTGCTCAATATCATCTTGTAAGTGGCTGAATTATAGTATAGATTTTAGTTTTCTGAATCCAAAGACCATATTCTTTTCATTGTGCAATGTTGCTTCTTGAAATAAAACTAAAATTACATTAATGTGGTAAGTCCTGCCATAGAGGTTTGAACAAAATGCTTTTTACTACAACTCGATGCCCTGCATAGTTTTAAGCTTCTCAGATCATATATCAAGAGCTCTATGGCCGTGCTTTTCAAATTTAGTAAAAAACCAGTTGTTTTCTCGCAATCATCCATGGATTGAAACTTTAGTAAATACAAAATTATATACTTGGATTTTGCTGTGATGTAAATTACTAGAGAAGTTTATAAACACTAAATTTCTGCACCTAATGATGCAAACTGGTAACAGACAATTCATGGCCTTGTACTTCTGTGTGAGCCACTTTTTCATTGCTTCAGGGAATCCAGATAGGAATAAGTTATAATCTCTTGCTGCAAGATGCTTACAATCTAGTAGATGAGTTAGAACTGTATTCAGTTAACTAAAATACGAGAGATAGTAAAATACATGCTGATAATATAAAGCAAAGATTTAGTGAACCTTGAAGATAAATATGTTCCAGAGGTAGGGAGTCAGGAAGAAGCATCTGTTTGCCAGAATAAGGCTTGTGGTCTTGGAAGTGGATGGAATAGTTGAGAAGTGGTTAAAAGTTTTGTGAGACTAGAGCTGGGCTTTATTAGTCTTGAACCAAAAATAAAAAAAAATGAGAGTAGAATTTCTACTACCCATTTGACTAATCTTGTATCTCATGAACAACATGCAATTATCACAATTTACATTTTCAGGTAGCAATGCTGACAAAGCCAGTAGATGGAGTGAATCACTCTGCAGTGTCAGAGTTTGTCTTCCTGGGACTCACCGATTCCTGGGAGATCCAACTTCTCCTTTTCGTGTTCTCCTCCACACTTTATGTGGCAAGCATGATGGGAAACTCCCTCATTATGCTCACTGTGACTTCTGATCCTCACTTACACTCCCCCATGTACTTTCTGTTGGCCAACCTCTCCTTCATAGACCTGGGAATTTCTTCTGCCACTTCTCCCAAGATGATTTATGACTTTTTCAAAAAGCATAAAGTCATCTCTTTTAGTGGCTGTATCACACAAATCTTCTTCATTCATGTCATTGGTGGTGTGGAGATGGTGCTACTCATAGCCATGGCCTTTGACAGATACATTGCCATATGTAAGCCTCTTCACTACCTGAGCATCATGAGCCCAAGGATGTGCATCTTCTTTTTAGTAGCTGCCTGGATGACTGGCCTCATTCACTCCATGGTTCAGCTGGCTTTTGTGGTAAACTTGCCCTTCTGTGGTCCTAATGTGTTAGATAGCTTTTACTGTGACCTTCCTCGATTAATCAAACTTGCCTGCAGAAACACCTACCAACTAGAGTTCATGGTCACAGCCAACAGTGGTTTCATGTCTGTTGGCGTCTTCTTTATACTGATCATTTCCTATATCATCATCATTCTCACTGTTCAGAAACACTTTTCAGTGGGTTCATCCAAGGCTCTGTCCACACTGTCAGCCCACATCACTGTGGTCGTCCTGTTCTTTGGTCCTTTGATATTTTTCTATACATGGTCATCTCCCTCCACACACTTGGATAAGTTTTTGGCCATCTTTGATGCAGTTCTCACTCCTTTCTTAAATCCTATCATTTACACATTCAGGAACAAAGAAATGAAGGTGGCAATGAGGAGAGTATGCAGACAGCTAGTGAAAGATCTCTTAAGCGAACCTGTATTTTGAAGTGCCTCATTGACTATTGATGTTCTTTACTGATGATAAAACTTGGAGAAAAGCTCCTGATGTCTTATCTTGATTTGATTATACACACTGATATTGAATCCTTTTTGTCTCTCAATCAGGAGGAAGAGACATTTACTTTTGGAAAGAGTTACATATAAAAAGATAAAGTATTTTTGAACTAAAGAGCATAATTTTAAGCCTAAATTCCTAAGGAATAATATTTATATAATTATTTTTTAAAAACACATAGATGGCAGTCTTCTTTATGGTCAACAGAACAGAAATAAGTGTCTGCAATGCACCTAATCCAGTAAGAGTCCATCTTAAGTGCCTACATTTGCAAACTCCCTATTTCCAAATATGATCCCATTCATAGGTATTGGGTGTTAGGAATTGAATATATTTATTTGGTGGGCACCAATCAACCCATAACAGTAGTGTAGAGAACCAGGATGGTTGTGGTGTATCTACCTATTAAACACAGTGAAAATATATTGAAATAAACAGTAGAAGGAACTTTACTCTTTCATAGACAATTAACTGTATTTTTAAAATAATAAAGACTATGAAGTCAACATAAGAGTCAAACACTTATTTTTGTAAGGTAAAATTCTGCTAACTCAGAAGATTACACATAAGGTAAAGAATAACACTTACTGCCTTTATTCAAGAGTAGAATACATACACCAAGATACATTTGTCATGTAATTCTAACAGAGAAATACCCAATTTTAGTCCTCATTATATATAGGGTATGGTGGTTAAAGCATTTCTAAGTTAAAAAAAATTGAAAAAGAGCTATGGAAAGTTTGCCAAAATATGAATAAAGAGCATTATTTCTTTTCAGACTCACATATATACACAAAATCAAGGCAAACAAGTATTTCTTGAACCTTCTACAGCTTTCTATCTTCATTGGGTTTTCTTTTTTACTGCTCTCTTTCAGATGCTGCATAACTAGACATTTTATCTTAGAAAAATTCTGTCCTTTTTTCCCTCTTGATAAACAAAACCAGATCCTATTATCTTTCATAGTCAATCATAATTTTTGACTATAATTATTCTAAACACTCTTGATCACCCAGTGTAACAAACTTTTCTTTCCCAGATAGTACTCTCTAAAAAGAAAAACCAACACAGAGTTTGACAGTCATTTAAGTTATAAAACTGATTTTAATTAGGAACTATTGAAATAGAGGAAAAGAGAACTCAGCATAGAAATGGTTCAATTCCCAATGCACTAAAAGAAGTGAAAAATTACAGGCAAAGAGCAGGTATGGGGGCGGGGGTCAGTGGATGGAAAATTATTAACAGGAGACATTGATGGTAGGGAGAATGCTTGCTAAGCTGACATAACAGGGCAGTCCAAGGTGATCAAATATCAAGAATAGGGGTTTGGAAATTTTGTTGGATAGCTAAAGTGGGTGATTTTCTCTGAACTGACTTAGTAGCATTCTTGCTAAAACTGAGCTACACAGTCCAGCATGGATGGGCCGCAGTCTGAGGCCTAGTGAAGAAGAGCACTGAGAGGAGCCTGACTAAAATTTGGTCAAGGAGACAGTCTTTGTCAACCTAAAGGTGGGTAATTGAGATTTGTCTGTCATATATAATTATTTTATAGACTAACAAAGCTCAAGAATCCTCAAAGTATAACCCCTACTGCTACATCTTATTCACACATTCTTAAAGTAGCAAAAATGAACACATTTACTAATGTGATCCAAAGACATAGACACTCTAAAAAGGTGTAAGTGGCACGCATGCGCGCGCGCACACACACACACACACACACACACACACACATGCCTATGACCAATGTTGCAATACTCAATCTTATTTAAAATTATCTAATAGATATCCATAGAATATTAACATTAAACCAAAATGTTTAAACAACTAAGGAATCAGAAGTTGTATTTCAATGGGTTCAGGAAAATTTTCAGAATTATAATTCTAATTGATTTGAAGCATAATTTTACATCTTTTGTAACTTTAAATACTTACCTTATGCTTCACATTTCAATAAGATCAGGGAGAACAAGGGCATTTTATAGAAAATTTTATTCACCAATGTTGTCCAAGAATTAATTTTGATTAATTGAATTTGAATCCTCACATAAAAATGCTCTGAGCCATAATTTCTATGACGATTTTTTTCTGAGAAAGATGGCATATATAAAACAGTAGAAATTTAGTTATCTTTATTTTTTTTGGGAATTTGGTGAACATTAGATTCAAGTTAGACACATTAATCCCCATAATTCAATACTAACAGAAGTCCTGATAGAGGATTCATATTTAATTTAGAAATATATTCTTGAAGTAGGAAAATATTTCAACTCATACAATGAGAGGAACACGGTCACATAAAAAGATTGGGGCCAGTTCTAGAACTTCAGCTACAGATCAAGACTCAGATTTACCAAACATTAAAAGTATAGATGGATACAAACAACCACACACTAACTCTCTATGGGACCTCTAATTTCAATGAAAATAAGACAAATTGATTGAACACATGGAAGAGACAAACAGATTAAAAACACAAGAGCCGATGAACAAACTAAATTCTCGATCATCTCTTATCTGATAGAAAACAGGTCCCACCATCTGAAGGAGATTACCAACGTTTTGATCATAAATTCAAATTCATAATCTCTGTGGCTATCAGTGAGGAATAACCTGTCACCCCTGTGCAAAACAGGATTGGAACCAAATTTTACCAAGAACCAGAAAGAAACAAACACAAAGTGAGTCCACCTGGGTATCTTGATGAAATCTTCAGAAGTCAATGTACAATCAAAAAAAATTAAAAATAAAGCTCATATAAAGTGATTGAGTGTCAATTACTTATTTGATTCACTAATGAGGGATCCCACAAAGTGGTTCCATTCAAGTTTTGATGGAATCAGTGTCTAAGACACACTGAATCTCCCTGTAAGTGTTCCTCAAGGGCTTTTGATTTTATCAATTTTGTGCTTCTGACTTGGGCTAGGCTTTTATAAATGGGCTGAGGCACAGTGACCACTTTAGATCTTATAAGAGACAAATCTGAAGAAAAAGACTAGAGTCGGATTACCTTTTATTCACAAAACTGCTTTACACAATTGTAAATTTAGTTTCTCATTCACTTTATTTTATGTGCCATTTTCTCCCCATGGGACCCTACCTGATACAAATATTTGGTATATAAGACATAGAGGCAATCTATGTGTTTAGACATTTAAGAAGTTTAAAATAATGAAGCATCAATATGAATAATGCTAAACTTCATTATTAATCTGAGAAACTGCAGTTGAATTCTCTAGGCTGAAAGCTCATATGCCGTGTGGGACGATAAGTAGTTTACAATACCTAAGGCTGGAAAGTTTCTTGGATTTGTGGCATAGTTAAAAATTCCAGTCTTGGAATCTGGAAATAGATTCAAGCGATTTGTCAGTTAAAGTGTCAGTTTATTGGCTAAAATGTTGATGAGGTGTTCCTGGGTTTGTAAGGTTACAAGCCATACAATAATGATACTCATTGCTCCTCTAACCTGGTAGTACCACTCTTTACTGGTCATAAGTTCACCAAGCCAGCAGAAAGGAAGGCATTGATCAACTTTGGCCATATGGTAATGTAATTCATACTTTGCCCTAACTTGTATCTCATATGGTCAAATATTTGAATACTTTCTTTCTGTTGACCAATTAAATAATTGTGATTGGAGGATGCCATGTACTCATGGGACTACTGAACAGTACATATTCACAATGAACCTGTGCATACAATATTTCCTAAGAACTCCACTTCTTACTATACACCCTTTGGAAGAACTTGCACACGTGTATAAGAAGACCTATACTAATATTTGTTACTACCTCGTCAAAGCAAACATTTGGAATGAGAGAATGTTAAAGTGTACTGCTGGCTATTCTAATTACCTTTTTCCATCATTTTTTACTGTACCAACTCTGCTTTGTGTCTTGTAGTACTGAACTTTATGGACCGAATCAACCAGTGGCTCTTGCCCTCTGGCTTCTGCATGGTGTGCTAATGGAGGTGATCATTAGGACTTGGAGGACAGGAGGCGAGTGAAATCAGGATATTTATTCCTTAGCTTCCTCCCTTTTGAACTCTATGTTGGCATTTCTGCATTCCCTCACCACAGCCCCCAGATCTTGTTGGTGGCCTTCTTCTACAGCTATGGCTCTTTCTCTGGTTTATAGTAGCATTCCTCCCCATTGCCCCTCAGCTGTAGGCATAGTAGTGGCTCCCCATTGTTGCCAGTCCTCGTTTCTTTACCAGTCCTTGTAGGTTTCCTTTACTGCTGCCTCAAACCTTGATGTAATACAATTTCTTCTTTAACCCCTTTTGAATGTGATATTTCTCCCTCGCTCAACATAAGAAATGGTACAAAGAGAAGACCCAGGAAATAGCCCCTCAATAAGATTCTAGGATTGGTTGGCTCTCATATTTGAGAAGTATCTGTATATCTTCCTTGGCTAGAGGATATTGGACTTTGATCATATGTAGTACACAGTTACACTATGATTACTCAGATTATCACTTGTGTTTGTATAGAATAAAGTTCAAGTGAAAGGCAGGCATTATAATCCACATACAACTAAATGTCACAGCCACTAAATGTCCCAACACTTTACCTTTATTTTGCTGGTGGAATAGCAACTTTATTCAAAATTGAATGAACTAGACTTTCCAACATATTTTTGGCTTTACCTGGATTAGTTGTCTCAAATACCATTACGAAAGTTTTAAACATAATCAGGACAGAGAAGCATAAACACTATTCTGATAAAATACAGTTTTACACTAAAAGAATTATAGAATTTTTCCAATATTGACCGAAGTATGGGGAAGAGGCATGAGAGTGAATTTTAAGTATATGAGTATTTGAAGAAGAAAATTATGAGACTAAATCAGGCAGAATTTTTCAACCTGTATGTATTCCCTTGAGATTCAGGTATTAATGTAGTGATGTGAGTACCTGGAAAGGTGTC